AAAAGTGGACTGGTACTAAAAACTTAACCAAGATTCTAAGTCGATAAAAGGCCTTAATTTTTAAAACAAATCCTTGACAGAGTTACCTTCTCTTGCGTACAGATGGGGGTAATGATGTGAAATAGCATTAAAAGTTTCAAAGCAATATCTCAAAGGGTTAAGGCAATAAGTGGATTTTACCCATATTCAATGTATTTTCTAAGTCAAAAAGGGGCATAATTCTGTCAAAAACCTTGACAGAGTTATGTCCTCTTGTCTGTTGATGAAGGTCGTGATGGTAAACAAGTATGGTCAGTTTCAAAGCAATACCTCCAATGGTTTTGAAATAAAGTGAGGTGGTACAAAAAACTTAACCAAGCTCAATACACTTTCTAAGTCAAAAAAGGGCCATAATTCTGTCAAAAACCTTGACAGAGTTATGTACTCTTGTCTGTAGATGGAGGTTATGATGGTGAACAAGTATGGTAAGTTTCAAAGCCATACTTGTAATACTTCTGAAATAAAGTGGGGTGGTACGAAAAACTTAACCAAGGTGTGACGCCGACGCCGACGCCGACGCCGGGGCGAGTAGGATAGCTCCCCTTTTCATAGAAAAGTCGAGCTAAAAATTCAACAAAGGGCCATAATTCTGTTAAATTTGGTTGAAGCAAAAATTCCTTCCTTTACTAACATCTACACCTTAAGGTTGTTCATCCCTGGAAGTTTAAGCAAAATCTGCCATCTGGTTTAAGAGGAGTTGCATTCACAAAATTTCTATATAGTATATAGTGAAAAAATCAACAAAGGGCCATAATTCTGTTAAATTTGGTCGCAGCAAAAATTCCTTCCTTTACTACCATCTACACATTAAGGTTGTTCATCCGTGTAAGTTTAAGCAAAATCTGCCATCCGGTTTAAGAGGAGTTGCGTTCACAAGATTTCGGGACGTACTGACGGACGGACGGACAAGTGCAACGCTATATGCTCCCACTTTGTGGGGGCATAATAACTCTAAAAATAATAAAAATATCCACACGAAAATACCCAGGTGCACAATTACACATGCTGAGCAACATTCCTGTAAGGTTTCATGCCTCTAGGTCAATTACTTTTTGAGCTATGTGCGACACAAAAAGAGAACGGACGTCCGTGGGGGGGGGGGGGGGGGGGATTAGGACGGACAAGGGTAAATCTAAATGCCCCCCCACCCCCTATAGTGTGGCACAAAAAATGTTTACCCATTCACTCAGTTAAGAAAATTGCCAAAAAAATGTAAACACAGATATATAACTTGACAGACATGGCATTTTATAATTGTGAAAAATATAAGTTGGCAAGTCATTGCTATAACTTGTGATGAAGTATATAAACAAGAACGTGTTTGATAAACACAAATGCCCCCGGCTCAGATTCTTGTCAGTAGCAATATTTCAAAAAATGTTTACCCATTCACTCAGTTATGGACAGAAAAATTGCCAAAAAATTGTAAACACAAGTTATATAGCTTGACAAAGTCATGGCATTTTGTAATTGTGAAAAATATAAGTTGCCAAGTCATTGCTCTGACTTGTGAAGTTGAAAAATATTCAACTTCATGCAAGTTATCATCCTACCAAATATGAAATACATCTGTCATTAAATAAAGGCTGTATGGGCAAAAGTGTAAAAATCTATTTTTAGCACTGGTGACCTTAAGCAAACTGACCCCTAACTCTATCCAAAAGAAGAATACCATGTAAGTTACCTTCCTACCAAATATGAAATACATCTGTCAATAAATAAAGGCTGTATGGGCAAAAGTGTAAATCTATTTTTAGCACTGGTGACCTTAACCAAACTGACCCCTAACTCTATCCAAAAGAAGAATACAATGTAAGTTATCTTCCTACCAAATATGAAAAACATCTGTCAATAAATAAAGGCTGTATGGGCAAAAGTGTAAAACTCTATTTTTAGCACTGGTGACCATAACCAAACTGACCCCTTACTCCATCCAAAGGAAGAATACCATGCAAGTTATCTTCCTACCAAATATGAAATACATCTGTCAATAAATAAAAGCTGTATGGGCAAAAGTGTAAAAAATCTATTTTTAGCACTGATGACCTTGACCCACTGATCCCTACCCCAATCAAAAGGATGAATACCATGCAAGTTATCTTCCTACCAAATAAATTATATCTGTCACTTAATAAAGACTGTATGAGCAAATGTGTAAAAATCTATTTTTAGCACTGGTGACCTTGACCCAACTGACCACTAACTCTATCAAAGTTTATGTTTTTATCAATTATAAATAACATCTGTCTATAGAATAAGGTCATTGCACAGTAAAAATCTATTTTTAACATTGGTGACCTTGACATTGGTAACATTGACCTTGACCCAAATGACCCCTTACTACACCCAAAGAAGGAGGACCTCCCTTGGCATGTTTGTATTAAACTAAGACATCAACTGAAATATAAAGGCTGTATGAGCAAATTTGTTTAAATTTATTTTTTAAACCAGTGACCTTGACCCTAAAGACCGCTTACTCCACAAAAAATTAGAGGACCATCAAAGGTAACCACCTACTTAATATGAAAGATATCATTAAAGAAATTAAGCAATTAGGAGAAATTTAAGATAAATCCAACTTGCTGAAATAGGTTAATCCGACAAGGCCCTATTTTCAAAGTGAAATAAGATTGCATTTGAGAAAAATGCTATGCCACCGCATGGTTCAAATTTCATAGCTGTACATCAAAGGACAAGAAAGTAGGTCACATCATCAAAATCTAGGTCAAAGTTCAATTTTACAACTAAAACTGTGCACATGGTCAAAATGTCATTGCTGTACATCAAAGGACAAGAAAGTAGGTCACTGTCCCCTTGGGCAAGGCATAATTTTGACCCAAGGGTTTAATAACAATCTTGATACAGGTCCACCAAACAACATTTCAAGTCAAATATCTAAGCTATAGCTTTCTCCCATTCAGAAAACATTTGTTTTATTTTCTGTTTTTACTACGTGTACATAATGAGAATCACTGCCCCTGGGCAGGGCCAATTTTTGACATTTGAACAACTTTGGTAGAGGACCTATAGATGATATTATATATCAAACATCAAAGCTCTATGCCTTGAACCTTCAGACAATTTTTTTCTCTCTCACTATATGTACATAATGAAAATCAATGACCCCCGGGGCAGAACCAATTTTGACCCCAGGGCTATAATTTGAACAATCTTGCTAGAGGTTCACTACATAATGTTTCATGCAAAAATATCTTAACTCTATCCTTTGTCAATTTAGAGAAGATGATTTTTTTAAGTTTTAACTATATACATATAAGATAAACCTATGGCTCCCAGGGGCGGGGCTAATTTTGACACAAGGGGCAAAATTTGAACATCTTTGGTAGAGTACCTTTAGATGATATTATTTAACAAATATTAAAGCTCTAAGCCTTGTACCTTCAGACAATAAGATTTTTTTATTTTTTACTATATGTATATATATTGAAATCAATGACCCCCAGGGCGGGGGTAATTTTGACCCCAGGGCTATAATTTGAACAATCTTGCTAGAGGTTTACAACACAATGTTTCATGCAGAATATCTAACCTCTAGCATTTGTCAATTGCTAGAAGAATTTTTTTTAAAGTTTTTACTATATACATATAAGGAAAACCAATGACCCCTGGGACGGGGTTGATTATGACCCCAGGGCTATAATTTGAACAATTTGGGTTGAGGTCTACCAGACAATGCCTTATGCAAAATATCTAAGCTCTAGGCCTTTTGGGTCTTTACAAGAAGGGTGTTTTTAGTTTTTACTATATGTACATATAGCGAAAATCAATGACCCCGGGGCGGGGCAGATTTTGACCCAAGGGCTATAATTTGAACAATCTTGGTAAGGTCTACCAGATGATGCCTTATGCAAAATATCTAAGCTCTAGGCCTTTTGGTTTTTTACAAGAAGGTATTTTAAGTTTTTACTATATGTAACATAGTGAAAATCAATGACCCCCGGGCGGGGCCAATTTTGACCCAAGGGCTATAATTTGAACAATCTGTTAGAGGTCTACCAGACAATGCTTATGCAAAATATCTAAGCTCTAGGCCTTTTGGGTCTTTACAAGAAGATTTTTTAAATTTATTCTTATAATTCCTTTTGGTTGCCATGGCAACCAGATTTCTGCATGGAATGAAATTCTTTGAAAACTTTGGAAGCCCTTCACCCAAGAACAATCCTGCCAAGTTTGGTTGAAATTGGACAAGTGGTTTATCACAAGAAGATTTTTTAAGTTCACTATATAATCTATATAACACACACACACACAAACAAACAAACAAACACACACACACACACACAGGTGAATCGCTATATGCCACCGCATCGCAGATGCTGCGGTGGCATAAAAAGGGAAATAACTGGGAAATATGGATGACACAGTTATATAACTTGGCAATATCATGTACTTTGTATTGATAAGTAAGTGTGGAAATTATAAAGCCATTAGTATAGATAGAACTTAAGATATTTCCAATTTGCCGTTTTAGGTTAACCATTATTCATTTTCTAAGTGCTGAAAAGGGCAATAACTTGGTAACTATGAAATATGCCCGGGGGCATAAAAATATTCAACTTTATCAAATACTAGTATGTATATGCTTATTATGAGAAAACATTTGATGCCATTAACAGCACCTGACAGACGCAGAGTGATCCCAAACGCTTTGTGCTCAGGTCACCTAAGCATCCTCTTATAACAAAAGTGCCATTAGTGGGCCATTTTTTTTTATCACATCTTTCAATAATTGAACAACCACGGCCCTATAATCTTTTGTCACAAATTGAAGTCAATTTTCCTCATCTGTCTTGTATACTCATGTTAGATTATAAATTAATTAAAAGCATGAACAGTTAGACAGACAAGGTATTCTCACCTATAGGGGCATAAATTACATATCATGTTACAGCAGGCAATGCTTATTTAGTTATTTACTATTTGGCTAAAAGGTTACTTACTTTTTATTCACTCTGAAAATAGGTCCTTCTATTAATTTCATACTGTCATCAAATTCTTTAGTTACAACCAAAACCCGTTTTCCCTTGAAGTAGTAATCAACCAGATCCTTTATTTTCTCCTGAAACAAGAATATCAGTGTGTGTAAACAATGCTTAATGAGGGTCCATCTGCCCTTTCAGGCACTGAGAGTACAGACTCCCAGAATATCAGATAAAATGATGAATACTTCTTATGTCAAAGCTTAAAAACACTGAAAAACTGTAAGGAAAAGTAGATAAACCAATAGTCTGTCTCAAGAGTTCAGCTGATCCAACCGACTTCAAATCTTAGCAAAACATAGATGTACATGAAAGGTATCTGCATACCAAAGCATTCACAAATCTCATCTGTTCACCTGTATTTTACCAGTAGTACAGTAAGAGTAGAACAAGACATGTACCTAGATAGCATGCTCACTTTTCTCAGTATTTGATAGATAAAATAAAAGCAAAATAGAAAAGGGGACATATTTCTGCTAAAAATGCTCATTTGAATTACCTTTCCTTTGAATAGTCAACATATATTGCAAGTCTTGAAGTGAATATTCTGACCATTTTATTAGTGTCACTTGTCAAAATCTTAGTTCAGTTGATTATCAAAAATTTTTTTAAATTTTTAATTTTTGGCTGGGCAAAAAATGGATTTAAATTTTATTAAGCTTTTTACCCCCCCAAAATAAAAAGAAAAGGTGCGAGGGGGAAAAACCCTTGTTCAAAATTTTTATAAAATTCAATTTACATTCAAATCTGTTGGGACAAAATTGGTTTTTCCAAAAGTTTTTTCCAATAACCCAGGCCCTGGGGGAAAATTTTAGAGAAAATTCTTTAAATTCAAAGGGGATTAATTCTAAAAAATAAAATTGATTCCATAGGGTTTGAAAAATTGTTTAATTAAGATGCGCTCGATAATAAGGATTAATAAATTTTAAGTTTAATACCCTTTCAAACCCCAGAACCCCGCCACGTTAAAAGTTAAAAAGGCCCAATACCCTCGTGTTTCCCCTTTTCAGGGGAACAACCGTGGTCATTTAAAAGGGGCTAAAGACAAAACCCCACCTGCCCCCAAAAAATGGGGGGGGGTAGGGGAAGGCCCGGGGCCCTTGCTTTTAAAAATTATGGTATTCCTAAATTTGTTAGTGGCAAATATCAAAAAAAGAAACCTTTCCCCCTTTGACCCCCCTTTTAAATTTTAAAAACTAAAAAAACTGCCAAAATGCAAAACTTGAAAAAACCCCCCCCTTCCCCCCCCCCCCATTCAATGCCCCCCTTTGGGCTTTTTGGGGTTTTATGAAAAAAAATTCGAGAAAAAAAAATATGTTCCCCAAATTTTAAAATGCCCAAAAATTTAAACCCCTCAAAATTTTAACAGGGTCATCTTAAATTGTCTAAATAACCTCAAAAGCCAATTTTAAAGACTGTGGGGTCAAGGGGTTTTTTTAAGGGGATTAAACGGATCCGGCCGTTTTTGTTAAGGCCCCTTCTTGACCCCGGACCTATGATGTAAGGATGACAAAAAACAATAAGGGGTCATTTTTCTTTGTCATAACCCAACCTTTAATTTTCCCCTTTTGAAGACTGGAAAAAGGGTTTTTAAGCCCCCTTGAGCCAACAAAATTTTTGAACTTAAGGGGGCCGGGGTGTGCCCTGAACTTTAACCCAGTGGGCCCCCCCCAATTCCCGGGGTCCCCTATTCAAAACCCAAACTCCATTTTTTACAAATATGAAAAATGTGGTTTAAAAAGGGTTCTTAAGGGAATGGCGGGCAAGGGTTTTTTTTTAAGTTACAGGCACCGGGCCCTTTTTCTTTTACCCGACTTTTTAAAGTTCAAAGGCCCCTGTGACCTTGACCTTTTTGACCCAGTGACCCCCAAAAATCAATAGAGTTCATCTACTAATTATGACTAACCACCATGCCAAATATGAAGACTGTGGGTCAAGAATCTCAAGTTATTGGGCGGACAAGCTTTTTAAAGTCAAGGCCCCTGTGACCTTTGACCCAGTGACCCCAAAATCAATAGAGCTCATCTACTAATTATAACTAACCTCCATGCCAAATATGAAAACTGTGGGCCAAAGCAATCTCAAGTTATTGGGCTGACAAGGAAAAACCGAAGGGGAGACATCCGGTCGTCTGGATGGCCGAAGGGACAAGCTGATTCCAGTATACCCCCCTTACAACTTTGTTGTGCGGGGGTATAATAAGAAAGTTACGGACCGGACACGACATATACCCTCACATAGACAATGTTGACCTTGATTGTGCAAGTGCGAACATGACCCTGGAGGTAGGGGTCTTGTTGTTGCGCTTGACACATCGTCTTATAATAACAAACATTTGTGCCGAGTTATTTCAGATTCCTTTGAAAAATGACAAAGTTATGGACCAGACACGAAAATGTGACGGACGGACAGACATCTGACTGAATAGGGATAAAGGGCCATTTCTATTGTTATTTTCTTTTGTTTAATAGAGGGCCATGGCCCCTTATTTTACTGTTATAGAATGAATTCTATTGTTCTCTTTTGTTCTGTTTACAGCTAGATGGCCCCCTCTCCCTATTCGGTTGTGTGGACGGACAGACGGAGGGACAGAGCCTATTTCTATATCCCCCTTTTTTCTTCGAAAAGGCGGAGAACAACAAGGTTTTATCATATTTTGGCAGTCAGTTTGACCTAGTGTTTGACCCCAGGTGATCCATAATCAAACTTGACCTTGAAATCATCAAAACAACTCTCCTGATCAATTTCGAGGATATTTGGATCAAAACTGCAGCCACTAGAGTGTTAACAAGTTTTTTTCTATTTTAGCTCCTGTGACCTAGTTTATGACTGGAAATGACCCATATCAAAACATGACCTAGAAATCATCAAAACAACCTTCCTGACCAATTTCAAGGATATTTGGATCAAAACTGCAGCCACTAGAGAAATAGAGTGTAAAAAAGCTTTTTCTATTTTTAGCTCCTGTTACCTAGCTTTTGACCAGAGATGACCCATCTTCGATCTTGACTTAGAAATCATCAAAACAACCTTCTTGACCAATTTCCAGAATATTTGGATCAAACCTGCAGACTTAGTTTTTGACCGGAAATTACCCATCTTTGAACTTGACCTAGAAATCATCAAAACAACTTTCCTGACCAATTTCCAGAATATTTTGATAAAAAATGCAGCCACTAGTGTTAACAAGATTTTTCTATATTTAGCTTGTGACCTAGTTTTTGACCGGAGATGACCAATATTTGAACTTGACCTAGAAATCATCAAAACAACCTTCCTAACAGATTTCCAGGAAATTTGGATTAAAACTGCTTCCACTAGAGAGTAAACAAGATTTCTCTATTTTTAGCTCTTGTGACCTAGTTTTTGGCCCGAGTTGACCCATCTTTGAACTACCTGCATTTCATTGAGACAAACATTCTGACAAAGTTTAATGATGATACAATCAAAACTGTAACAGCTAGAGTGATAACAACCCAATTGTTGAAGACAAACTGCGCACAATGCACAAAAACAGACGCCAGACATAGCCCCATCACTATACCTCACCTTGTCAGGAGAGCTAAAAAGTTATAGTAAAAATATATTTCTGCACCAAACTTTAATCTGAAATCTGGATGGGGAGGCCTGGTGCGTAGGACAGCTCTCCATATACATTGTATAGTCAAGCTAAAAATAAATACACTTTAGACACTTTAAAATATTCCAAATTTTCATAAATTTTAATATACGAATTCATGCTTTAAGCATACTATGTTGTTTATGATTTTAATTTCTCTTAAATTCTGTCAATGATAAATATCTAGTCTATTTACTTGTTGATGAAAGTAACACAATTTTACATGAACTTACTTTTTTAGAGCCTGATGAAGATATAGGTTGTACTATATTCATCAAGTTCAAGCCATCTATAATGTAGTCAAATGGTCCTTCCATGTTCATAAAGTCGGAGAATCTATCCAGCTCTTTTGGCGTTGTCTTCCTAAAGATGTTTTCACCTATCAATAACTTCTTCATAGTTTTCTTAACCATTTCCTTCATGATTGACTTATCCAAAGGCTCAATTTCTGGAAGTGTTTCTTTACAACTTTTACATATCCGGCTAGACAAAACAAAACAAAGCCTATGAATACCTGGAAAACTGGCTTCAACAAATCACAAATAGTACTGTTATGGATAGACATGTAAACAATTTGACATTGTGATGAGATATTACCTTTCCTTTACTTGAATTCTGCTCTGTCATTTCCGTGACTTGTGTGGTTGTTTATCAACTATATATCTAACAGTAAACAGTATAAGTATTCAATGATTCGAGTTAAAGAAACATTGAAATATCGTTTAGAACTATATGAACATGATCCGGGTCGCGAAATAACCTGACAATTGAGTGTAGATACTCAACTGACCAAAGAATAACAATAATAACGATCAGATATGTAGAAATATACCTGAACTATTATTCCATTACAATAGATGCAGAAAGTGTACACTAGAAGTGTCACTAGAACAAAAGATGTGTATTATTTACATTTTCTAGCTGACGGATTCAGCGGAAATAAGTTCCATATCCGGCCAAATTCCGAGAAAGTACTGTAATGCAACGAAACTACCATAATCATATTTTGGAAAAAGAGTGACTATCATATAAAAATCTGCTGATATTTTATGTCTTTATTATTCTATAAAAGAATAATAACATTTTAGCGGATCCTTGACGGATCTATTTTGTCTGACGGCGTATGAGCCATGACTGTGCTATGTTTAGCGGAACGCTGTGATTGGTTAACTAATTCCGTTGTCGAATCTTATTGGATAAGAGTACTTTTGAATGTTTTAGCGGCGGGCAAATTTCATTTCGGAATTAACACGCCAAAGTCTATAAATACAGATGCTCAATTCAGTTGGGCAGCTTTTCCAACCGTGAAACATGGACTAACAAGGTTATTATTTGAACAGTAGCTCAACCCTAACTAAAAATCCGCCAAACAACGGAAATCCGTCAAAACTTGAACATTCCGCTTTAAAATAAATATTCCGCTAGAAGACTTTAACTGTAATTTACACGAAACACGTTCATATAACCCCTTCTTTAACAACTTTACATTGAAGAACTCATTAGATCTCGAAACTATACCAAGGGCAATAATTTACATGTTTTCGGTATTTAACTATCCTGTTTTATGCATTTATTTAACAGAAGATCTTAATAAATAAGATTAACTGTACTTGAGCGTTTTGGTATTTTCAAGTGTTTATATTCTTTTTCATTGATTAAGTTTTATGGTAAATTACCGTACCATTTAACTTCAGTAGCCTTAAAAGTGATCCTGACAAAATCATTTCAACAGTGACAACGGTAACAGTACAATTTAGATGACTGACATAAATATAAATTAATTTTATTCATACACCAACTTATATTCTTGATTATAGTTGGCTCAGATAGTTGGTAATGGGGTTATTTTTGGGCAAATTAAATTCTCTGGACAACAGAAAAAACAAAACATTGTACAAAAGAGATATACTCAAGAACTACTGTTAATTAGCTTGTCAATTAAAAGTTGTAAAACTTGGCCTACTCAGCTTGCTTGTGACACTTTACATACATTTTAAGTTTCATGATGATAAACATAAACAAGAGGGCCATGATGGCCCTGAATTGCTCACCAGAAATAACTGTTTTTCAGTGTTAGAAAAAAAATGTTTCAAATTATCTTGCTGAAAGGCATGTCCAGCTAAACTTCAACTTGCCCCTCTAGTTACATAATTTCAGACACAGATTTATTTCTTCATAATATAAAGGAACCTTTCACAAATGGCCCAAGTTCATTGTTACTGTATATCTGGCATGTAAAGAATGCCAACTTACACTTTTTATAAAAGTCTACCTAAGAATGCTACAGACAAAGTTTGGGGATCATTCATCAATATGTTCAGTAGAAGATGTTTTAGATCTATGTTTTAAAGATATTTCTATTTTTAGCTTTAGCGGCCCCTCAAAGGGGCTAATCAAATTAATATGAGCAAATTTGCTAAAAGACTACCCAAGAATGCTACAGACAAAGTTGGGTGATCATCCTTTAATTAGTTCAGTAGAAGATGTTTAAAGGTTTTTCTATTATTAGCTTTAGAGGCCCTTAAAACCAGGGGCCAATAAAATTGATGTGAGCAAATCTGATAAAAGACTACCTAAGAATGCTATGACAAAGTGATAATCCATCAATTAGTTCAGTACAAGATGGTGTTTAAAGGTTTTCTATTCTAAGCTTCAGAGACCCCTAAAGGGGGCCAATCAAACTATTTTTGAGCAAATCTGATATAAGACTACCTAAGAATCCTACAGAAAAAATTTGGTGATCATTCATTAGTTGAGTAGAAGATCTTAAAAGTTTTTATTTTTTTCTCTGTCGACCACTAAAAGGGGCCAATTGAAATGATATGAGGAAATTTAAGTGTGACTGTCACAAGGATGCCACAGACCAAATTTCAAGTAAATCTGCCCAGCAGGTTAAAAAAAAATGAATGTTGATGCATGACGATGGACGACAAAGCATCCCCTTTTGATACTAATAGCCAGGGATCACGTTTCTAGATGAAATATGTTCAGGAAACTATTTTCAGTTTTAAAGTAATAGTGACCTTGACCTTTGACCTTGTGACCCCAAAATCAATAGGGGTATACTACCCAATATGGACAATCATCCTACGAAGTTTGAATATTGTGGGCCAAATAGACCTTAAGTTATGCTCCTGAAACTGTTTTCAGTTTAAGAGTAATAGTGACCTTGACCTTTGACCTTGTGACCCCAAAATCAATAGGGGTCTTCTAACCAATATGGACAATCATGCTAAGAAGTTTGAATATTGTGGGCCCCATGGAACTTAAGTTATGCTCTGGAAACTGTTTTCAGTTTTAAAGTAATAATGACCTTGACCTTTGACCTTGTGACTCCAAAATCAATAGGGGTCTTCTACCCAATATTGACAATCATCCTATGAAATTTGAGCACTGCGGGCCAAATGGAACTTAAGTTATGTTCCGGAAACTGTTTTCCTTTTTAAGGTATTAGTGACCTTGACCTTTGACCTTGTGACCCCAAAATCAATAACAGTCTTCTACTTAATATTGACAATCATCCTATGAAGTTTGAATATTGTGGGACAAATAGACCTTAAGTTATGCTCCGGAAACTGTTTTCAGTTTTAAAGTAATAGTGATCTTGAACTTTGACCTTGTGACCCCAAATTCAATAGGGGTCTTCTACCTAATATGGACAATCATCCTATGAAATTTGAACACTGTGGGCCAAATGGAACTTAAGTTATGATCCGGAAACTGTTTTCAGTTTTAAGGTATTAGTGACCTTGACCTTTGACCTTGTGACCCCAAAATCATTAAGACATGGGTGAAAGTTGGAAATTTTAAAAATCCTGAAAATCCTGAATTTAGCAGTTTTTCTGTAGATTTACATAGGAAATAGAAGGCTTTAAGAAGACTGAAAATCCTGAACTTCAGGAATAATCCTGAAAACTTTCACCCATGTTAAGAGTCTTCTTCCCAATATTGACAATCATCCTATGAAGTTTGAATATTGTGGGCCACATGGAACTTAAGGTGACAACGGAGTCAATTATCACTGAAAATACCTAAAATGAGATTTTTTGCTAAGTAGATTTATTAACCTTTTCTGAACACATTCGTGATTTAATTTTGGAAGCAGTTAGTCCAAAAAATGTGTTTTTAAACGTTTTAAAACGGTACCTATACAATTTGTATCTGCTATTCGCGTAACCTGTCGATTATCGATAACGCTCCGCCCCCTGTTGAGGCATCAATGAGGGAAATCGGTAGTTCCATATATCCGTGAATTACAGGTCCATACTGGTCCATACTTCTCGTAATACATGTATCGTACAACTACCGTACATCTTTTATGAATATCTCAACATTATGCCTTTTTTATAAATTAAGAAATTGTCGGCCAATGTACGTAACATAATGTATGAAACATAAATAATTAAGCATAGCGGCAAATCGCACGACCACAGGGTTGATTAAAAATGTAGTTGCTAAAATATCCATAATGTGTGAAAATAATTTGTCTGTCCCGTTAATCTGATAGATATTACATTGAGTTGATAGACTTTTGTACGGATTCAAGGGCTTACTTTACATTCCACCTCGTTTTCTAACAATGTCAAGTAAAACAACAACAAAAACAGACAACATTTTTATGTGAACGCCTATATATGACTTGTGGTAAGGTGTCCCTGACAAATTTCTAAACCATTTTAGATTGTCTAAGGATGATTATTTCTCTATGAATAAAAAAGATATTAAAATATATTCTCAGTGAAAATAAATTGTTCGCCAGTAAATCGGACACAGTACTAATAAATGTGGGACAAAGTATGAAATTTATTGTCTATCCCGGTAGAAACTGGATATCTAGGCCGTGCATAGATGATATTCATGATAATAGAAGTCAAGAAGGCCAGATCATAATGATCGGGTAATACCTTTTATTTCTATTAAAATATGTGAAGCATTATCAATTTGGTGGAAAAAATATATAATATCCCGTTCTTATTTGTACATCTACCATGGACTTTAAAAGACTGTCAGAAGCTCAGTTTTTTGTTATTTTATTTTATATTTTAACGGAATTTCATACACGAATACACAGGCAGAGTGACACTGGTATAATACAATAATAATGCTGATAATAATAATAATATACTTCAAAAAGGAAACAATTAAATACCCCGCTAGCGGTGCGCAAATGCGTTCCATTTCCCCCCACTGAGTGCCTCAAATTTTATCGATAGTCACGTGACATGTGCGACAGATACCAGACGAACAGTAAATCACGTTAAGAATTGAAGAAATTTCGGCTATAAACTGATATTAATCAGCAGCTTTTTAATTGGTCAGATGTCACTGGGTCATAAAATGTTGTTAGAGTATGTTATCGCAACTTGTGACCCTCTCTGGTGCGATATTTGTGTATTATGCAATTATTTAGCGTGAAACGTAGGGGTCCGAGAGAGAACAGCCGATTTATGACACTTCGTTTGATGCGGGTCGGACTAACTTTGAATCGGCATAACTTTTTTAATAATCAAGCAATTAACATGCGGTTTAAAGCACATGAAAGGAAATTCATTTACGGAGGGAACCGTGTCAGGGATTTTTGTTTGCTCAATCAGCGACTTAATTATCTTTAATTACGTAATATGTATGGTGAAAAAAGTCGCATTAAATGTTTGACATTACGTAATATTTTTTTGAGAAAAGATAGAAAAAAATTGAGACACGGTTCCCTAGATAATATAAGTAAGGTTATTTTCCAAAAGTTTGATGACAAAAAAATAAAAAATGACTTTGATATGACGATTTAAAATTTTAGAATTTTTATTCAAAATCAATCATTTACAAAGGCATTTTTTTCAAATATGTTATTTTTTATGATGATCTACGACATTTAATGCACAAAGATTAAATAAATAACAATTATAACTAAAATAACTTGGTTTAAATGACATTTATGTGAGTACCACGGAAAGTGTCTGTTGTCACCTTAAGTTATGCTCTGGAAACTGTTTTCAGTTTTAAACTATTAATAATGACCTTGACCTTTGACCTTGTAACCCCAAAATCAACAGGGATCTTCTACCCAATATGGACAATCACCCTATGAAGTTTGAACACTGTGGGCCAAACAGAACTTAAGTTATGCTCCGGAAACTGTTTTCAGTTTAAAGGGGATAGTGACATTGACCTTGACCCCAAAATCAATAGGAGTCTTCTACGGATGTACTCACAAAATGGTACTTATGTGACTTTTCCTGTGATCTTTTGGCCATTTTTAGTCACACAAGGCTTAAAAAAAGACACACAAGTTAAACGGAATGAATAGGATCAAAGAGAATTGACTGTTACCCATTGATCTCCAAGTCACACAAGTACATCTGGGTTTGTACGGACGGATGAATGCCAGGGGGTTTAACATAACATGCCCGAAATTCTTTTGGTCATATAAAAATGAAAATTTCAATAATTTGACCTTCAAAGTCAAGGTCATTTATGAGTGAAGGTCAAGGTCTGTCTGGTTATTTTTAAGGGATATCCTTGAAGATTATTATGTTCAAGTTTGAAGACAATCCATTCAAAAATAACAAAGTTACAGCCAATAATAGCAATAATAGCACTTAGAAAGGGGACCACCCAAGGTTTGAAGTCATTTGTTTTAGTGGAAATGTTGTTTAAAGAAATTGTTGATGATGCACGACAGACGGAGTGGGATTACAAAAGCTCACAATGAGCACATTGCAGGCCTTTTCCAAAAATTACCTTGCCCAGTTTGGGAAATTTTGCGTTGAAAAATTGCTAAATTGGGAAAAATATTTGGTACCTTTTGGAACTTGCTCTATGCTCCTTTGGCATAGTATTTTGAATTGTGCAAAATTGTTTATTCCAACCAATGCAAATATCATTCAAAGCATAAAAAGTACATTAAAATTTAACAATGAAATATGTGGAAACAATCTGTATGACACCACACTGGAATGAACTCAGTTTTGATATCAATAATTTCACTTTGATTGGGATTTTATTTTCAAGTATTGGGGAAAAAATAACCATAATTTCCCTTAGGAATGGGTCTGGTAATCTGACCTGTGGTGACACTGGAAAAAAATATGCACTGGGCTCAGGTGAGCTTAAAAAGAAGTTTATAAGCATGTGACAGAAACATAATAGAACCAACTAAATAACATTTACCTTTGGGGAAGAACTTCAGTCAAAACTGCACTTTCACACTGTTTCCACTCACTGTAATAACAAGACAGAAAATTTAAGAATATTTAGTATGATTGCATAAACCTATCCACATATTATGGAGCCAATGCAACAGATTTTTATTGGTACTTGTTCTGTAAAATTAATTTTGAGTATATTTCTTTATTGTCTATTTAATATTTTACTGTTTTGAGTGCCCAAGTTGGTCTCAGTAAGATTTTCAAATTACATATTTTTATGTTTTATGACCTCAGTGGAACTCCTTTAAATCCAAGGTGCAAACTTTATCTGTTGTAAAATTTGAAGAAGTTAAATAAGAAATATATGTATACTAATTTACAGCAAACATGTCTATACAATTTGAAAAAGTATTATAAGAAAAAACAAAATGTACAAAGACTTGTTCTTATTTTGTTGTTTCTATTTTTGATCCTTTAAAAACTAGGATATACTGACAAATTCTGATTTCATAAACATTTGCTTAATTATCAGTAACATCTATATCTATACATGTATCTTAAGTCTTCTTAAGTCATGTGACAGAGTCAAATTTTGACCTAAGGCCGTGAGGGTCATGGTTAATACAACTTCTTGAAGAAATCTACAAATTGATGCTACATGCCAGATATCTAAGCTCTGGGCTTTGTAGTTCATATGATAAGACTTAAAATGTGTTTTCCTATAATCTAGTGATTCCCAAGTGGGCAACTTGTGACACCATTGGCCTGATGATTTATGTCAATTTTGCAGACATTTAAGAGGTAATGTTACATGCTAAATATCTTAGCTCTTGACATTTAAGCACTATAACAGTGAAGAAGCCCTGATTTCCAAAGATTATAGAATTTTTTATTCAATCTTTTTATTTTACTGTAACTTTTAATTGGGAATTTTTTCCTTTGGAATGGGAAAATAATAATACTATTTTCAGTTGGGAATATGACTGAATATTGGCTATAAAATAAGCTAGAAAAAACCCTGTAAGTTCATATAAATCAAATTATCTCTTGGGCTGACCAATTTTGATCTCATGAACCCCATACTTGTGTTTTGCATCTGTCTCATTATAAGTAATATAATCTGTCAAAAGTTTTAATGTCTTTCTATTGGTTTAAAACATAAATAGTGGACAAGAAATTATACAAGAGCTGTCCGTAAGACAGCGCGCTCGACTTTTTTATTGCTTGCCAATAAAAAAAGTTTTTGCAGTAAAAGGCAATACAAGAATCTCTGTATTTTTAAAGTGAACTAGTTGTTTGATACCCTTGAATATTACAGCAATGTTTATATGACATAATTTATGGTAAAGTGAACAAGTGGATAGGAATGAATTTTTTTAGATTTTTTAAGTTTTTTAGTGCTTGCCTATAATACAAAACATTGACAGTTAAGGGCCATAATTCAAATAAAATCTTTGACAGAATTACCTTCTCCTGGACATGTTTGGGAATCATGATTGTAAACAAGTATTCCAACTTTCAAATTAATATCTCAAACAGTTCAGTCAAAAAGTGGACTGGTACTAAAAACTTAACCAAGATTCTAAGTCGATAAAAGGCCTTAATTTTTAAAACAAATCCCTGACAGAGTTACCTTCTCTTGCGTACAGATGGGGGTAATGATGTGAAATAGCATTAAAAGTTTCAAAGCAATATCTCAAAGGGTTAAGGCAATAAGTGGATTTTACCCATATTCAATGTATTTTCTAAGTCAAAAAGGGGCAATAATTCTGTCAAAAACCTTGACAGAGTTATGTCCTCTTGTCTGTTGATGAAGGTCGTGATGGTAAACAAGTATGGTCAGTTTCAAAGCAATACCTCCAATGGTTTTGAAATAAAGTGAGGTGGTACAAAAAACTTAACCAAGCTCAATACACTTTCTAAGTCAAAAAAGGGCCATAATTCTGTCAAAAACCTTGACAGAGTTATGTACTCTTGTCTGTAGATGGAGGTTATGATGGTGAACAAGTATGGTAAGTTTCAAAGCCATACTTGTAATACTTCTGAAATAAAGTGGGGTGGTACGAAAAACTTAACCAAGGTGTGACGCCAACGCCGACGCCGACGCCGGGGCGAGTAGGATAGCTCCCCTTTTCATAGAAAAGTCGAGCTAAAAATCGATACAAAATGACTAAGTGTGACCTTGACTTGAGAAAGATCAAACCTGCACACTACACATCTTTTCATTATGGTTAACATTTCTGCCAAGTAGTTTCAATTTCCTTTCACTTGTTCAAAAGATACAGATCTGACACAAAAACTGTTAACAGACAGACGGACAACCAGGTGGCAAGCATAACATTATACCCCTCAATTTTTTTGGGGTGTATAAAAAGAGGATTGTCCTTTCCTACACACTGACATTTAAGTACTCATCAAAAGGCAATAACCCAAACAAGAGCTGTCGGTAGGACAGCAACGCTCGACTATTCTTAGTGCTTGATTGTAAAAAAAATGCTTGATACAGTTACCTCCTCCTGTTTACAGGTTGGGGTAATGATGGTGAACAAGTGTGTAAAGTTTCAAAGCCATATGTCAATGGACTTTGAAAATATTCGAGGTATTACAAAAACTTTAACGTAAATTCTAAGTCCAAAAAGGGGCATAATTCTGTCAAAATGCTTGATACAGTTACCTCCTCCTGTTTACAGGTTGGGGTAATGATGGTGAAAAAGTGTGCAAAGTTTCAAAGCCATATGTCAATGGACTTTGAAAATATTTGAGGTATTACAAAAACTTTAACATAAATTCTAAGTCGAAAAAGGGGCATAATTCTGTCAAAATGCTTAATAGAGTTACCTCCTCCTGTTTACAGGTTGGGGTCATGATGGTGAACAAGTGTGCAAAGTTTCAAAGCCATATGTCAATGGACTTTGAAAATATTTGAACTATTACAAAAACTTTAACATAAATTCTAAGTCGAAAAAGGGGCATAATTCTGTCAAAATGCTTGATAGAGTTACCTCCTCCTGTCTACAGGTTGGAGTCATGATGGTGAACAAGTGTGCAAAGTTTCAAAGCCATATATCAATGGACTTTGAAAATATTTGAACTATTACAAAAACTTTAACATAAATTCTAAGTCGAAAAAAAGGCATAAATCTGTCAAAATGCTTGATAGAGTTACCTCCTCCTGTCTACAGGTTGGGGTCATGATGGTGAACAAATGTGCAAAGTTTCAAAGCCATATGTCAATGGACTTTGAAAATATTTGAACTATTACAAAAACTTTAACATAAGTGGTTACGCCGACACTGATGCCGACGCCGACGCTCGGGTGACTGCAATAGCTCTACTTATTCTTATCGAATAGTCGAGCTAAAAAGTACCAAGATGGTACATGTACAATTGAGAGCAGCTGGAACATAATCATGTAAATGAGAGCTTTTACCCTTGAAGTTTAAATCTCTTAAAAACATTTTGGTTTCTGGCAATGGACCAAATATAGGAAGTGCCCTAGTTCCAGGTTCATTCTTATCCTAATACCATGATTTGCAAACCAAGAGATAAACCTATTGTGAAAATAATGAGTAAAGCAAATTAAGTGCCTCATGTGGTCTTATGTAGCCCAACAAAACAATACTAAATTAGAATTGTGTCCGTTTGCTTTGTTTGGTTTTACAGCGCACCAACACAATTGAGGTCATATGGCTCCCAAACAGGCAAGATGATTTTGACTAACATTGGGTGTTTCAAATTTAAAGCAACACCAGGGGACAAAACCACCTTATCTGCTGGAGCTTAGAGATTCATGACTCCAGTAATTCAAACCCATTAAATGATTTAGTCGCCTCTTACAATAATGCAGGGATAAACATGGCTGCAATTCTGATGCCAGCCTTCAAGCCTTAAAGGTAACCCTTCAGCCATAAAGGAGAAAAATGTATTTGAAAGACATGGATGCCCCTGCTATTTATATAAGGATACAGACTTGTATGAATAAAGTTACGATAGGACAGCATAGTTGGTATTTAATGAACTTTTGGCAATAAAGACCTTAAGTTAGAGGACAGATGGCTGTTGATAAAACAGTCTTTTAATATTCACATTGCCTTGATTTAGATTTTCTAATGAGACCCTGACCTTGGAGCTAGGGGTCTAGGTCTAAAGCATGACATACTATCTCATCATCCTACACATTTGTGCAAAGTTATTTCAAAATCGATTGATGCACGAGTGAATTATCAGCCGGACAATATTTTCTAACTACTGAATTTTGACATCTTAGTGTGATGTTGACCTTGGAGCTAGGGATCAAGTTCTTGTGCATGACACACCCTCTCAACATGCAACACTTTTATGCCAAGATATTTAAAAATCCCTTGACTCATGACAAAGTTATGGGTGGGACAATATTTTACAACTGTTCACCTTTGACATTGACACTGACGCTAGGTCTTTTTTTCGTACATGACATATGTATCATCATGATACACATCTGTGCCAAGTAACATCAAAATCCCTTGATGTATGACAGAGTTATTGGCTGGACAATATTGTCTTACATCTAAGTGTGACCTTGACCTTTGAGCTAGAGGTCTAGGTCTTGAGAATGATAAACAATGCCATCATGCTACACATTTTACACATTTGTGTTCCTGGTTTCAAAGTCCCTTGAAGCATGACTGGACCTGACAAGATTTTGAAATGCAGGCATACATATACTGCCATACACTGGTAACAATATAATCCCCTTGCCATTATTATGGAAGGTTCGCAAAAATACTGATTATCTATTTCTTTTGGAAATTTTTAAAAGCTTTTTCCTACTTAAAAGACCTTGAAAGATGAGATTCTATAAAAGCAATGGAAACTGGAATAAATTTGTTAGAAATAGAATTCCAGTCAAATAAGCAAGGTGACCTTTTTCCTTATCATAACTTATAAAAATGTATTTCAGTCTTCACCAATCAAATGTTGTTTGTTTTTTTTTCTCTGGGTTTTAAATCACAATTTCATTGTTAAGGCCAAAATTTATGCTCTGCTGCTGGAGGAAGACATGTGGTGACCTCCCCTTTTTGTTTGTTTTATTTCATTTTAATAGAGCATTCAATGAATTTCATAATCACTGAATGAAAACATGAGCATGCATGCAACAAAGTGTTGAAAGGTTAAAGGAACTCCACTGAAGTTCAAATGCCTAAAAAAATAAATTTGAATTTCTTACATAGATCAGCTGAGGCTCTCCAAGCAGAAACATAAACAATATGTAATTGAGAAAAATGTTCAGAAATTAATTGAAAAACATATATGTGTCTTATTCATAGTTCACTTGAGGAAAAAAACATTGCAATGCTTTTCAATTTTGGGTCATTTTTCACAATCAAAATAATCATAATATATTATATTATTAAACATATGGCACAGAATGTTTAATAAAATTGAAAAAGTTCATAATCATATTGCTCTTCTTTATTGACATTTGCAGTAAATATTAAATATAAATACGGACAAGTGAACATTGAGTATGGACATGTAAATTTCTTAGGCTACTTGTCCGTGGACAAGTACAATTTTCTGAGATTTTGCCGGCCCTGCTTAAAGGCTACTAGCCCCTAAACCCTTTGATCACGGAATGAACCTATTGTTCTCTTTTGTTCTCTTTACTGTTATATAGCCCCTAAACCCAAAATGTTTGCTCGACAGACGGACGGACGGTTCAATTACTATATGCCCGGGGGCATAAAATATTTCTAGTCCCGTTATGTCAATACACAACAGCCCCTTTGAGCTTTGAACAGATGCTAAATTGCATGAATCAACATAATCTGGACCTCATTTTAATGTTATGTTACTGTAATGATAAACAATATGTGAACCTTTGCTTTACTAATCTTTATAAACTGGCATGTGTTTCAATACAAGAGCAATCAGTGATCACATGTGTCCACTCATGATGGCCAATTTCATGTTGAGACAAATTTTGTGACAGACGGACAGACAGACGGACAGTGCACAACTAGACTTGGTACTGATCATTCCTGTAAAGTTTGGATAAAATAGCACCAGTAGTTTATGAGGAGTAGTTCGGACAAGCTTTTGCGTATCTGGCAACACACAGAAAAAAAACACCTTTTTATCAAAGGGCCATAACTCAACCAAAAATCATTCAACCGGAAAACCCATGCAATATGTGCAAGGACTTGGGTTACATATCAATCCTGTAAAGTTGCATTGAAATTGCATTAGTGGTATAAAAGAAGTAGTCCGGACAAACTTTAAAAATGAAAATTATTAAAGGGCCATAACTCTGACAAAACTCATTGAACCGGAAAATGCTGACAATATGCACAACTAGACTTGGTACTGATCATTCCTGTAAAGTTTGGATGAAATTGCACCAGTAGTTTATGAGGAGTAGTCCGGACAAGCTTTTGTGTATCTGGCAACACACAGAAAAAAACACCTTTTTATCAAAGGGCCATAACTCGGCCAAAAATCATTCAACAGGAAAACCCGTGCAATATGCGCAAGGACTTGAGCTATAGATCAATCCTGTAAAGTTTCATTGAAATTGCATTAGTGGTATAAGAGAGGTAGTCCGGACAAACTTTAAAATTAACTAGAAATGTGTCATCATGCCACGGATGCCCCCACATGCAGCCAAAATTTCAGATGGTGCTTAAATTATTTTTTTCATTTTAAGTTCAAAGCCCTTAAAACTTTTCAATGTTAACACAAACCATTTTCATACAATGTTCAAGGCACTGAAATTATTCAGTCTAAACCTTTTAAAAATAGCATATTGCATATTTGTAGCCAAAATAATGGCTAAAAGTAAGAGTGCTGAAAGTGAAAGTTCAAAATTTTTCCAACATTCAGGAAAGATAAGTTTGTCTTAAATCATTGAACTACAACCAAATTTAAACTTAAACTGCTTATTCCTAAGATGTATCTATATTATTTTCAAAGTGAAAGGGACATAACTCTGCCAAAAAATCATCAAACCATGACCAAATTCCAACTTGACCTGCCCATTCCTTTGACATATCCATATGTCAAATTTAAGGTGAATATGAAACACTGTTGGGTAGATAATGAACAGAAACTGTAAATTTCATATTATTTTCAAAGTGAAAGGGGCATTACTCTGCCAAAAATCATTGAACCATGACCAAACTCAAACTTGGCCTGGGCATTCCAAAAACATATCCATATGTCAAATTTGAGTTGAATGTGTTGTACCATTGGGGAGATAATAAACGGAAACTGAAAATTTCATATTACTTTCAAAGTGAAAGGGGCATAACTCTGCCAAAAATCATTGAACCATGACCAAATTTGAACTTGACCTGCACATTCCTTTGACACATCCATATGTCAAGTTTGAGTTGAATGTGTTGTACATTTGGGGAGATAATGAACGGAAACTGAAAATTTCATATTATTTTCAAAGTAAAAGGGGCATAACTCTGCCAAAAATCATCGAACCATGACCAAATTCGAACTTGACCTGTATTTTCTCATGACATATCCATATGTCAAGTTTGAGTTGAATGTGTTGTACCGTTGGGGAAATAATGAACGGAAACTGAAATTTCATATTATTTTCAAAGTAAAAGGGGCATAACTCTGCCAAAAATCATCGAACCATGACCAAATTCCAACTTGACCTGTATTTTCTCATGACATATCCATATGTCAAGTTTGAGTTGAATATGTTGTACCGTTGGGGAGATAATGAACGGAAACTGAAAATTTCATATTATTTTCAAAGTAAAAGGGGCATAACTCTGACAAAAATCATCAAACCATGACCAAATTCGAACTTGACCTGTATTTTCTCATGACATATCCATATGTCAAGTTTGAGTTGAATGTGTTGTACCGTTGGGGAAATAATGAACGGAAACTAAAATTTCATATTATTTTCAAAGTAAAAGGGGCATAACTCTGCCAAAAATCATCGAACCATGACCAAATTCGAACTTGACCTGTATTTTCTCATGACATATCCATATGTCAAATTTGAGTTGAATGTGTGCAACCGTTCTTAAGATAATGAACGGAAACTGATGATGAAGGAATGACAGAAGGACGGAAGGACGGAATGACGGAACAGGGTAACACTATATGCCCCGGCCATTACATGGCGGGGGCATAAAAATTATTAAAGGGCCATAACTCTGACAAAAATCATTGAACTGGAAAATGCTGACAATATGCACAACTAGACTTGGTACTGATCATTTCTGTAAAGTTTGGATGAAATTGCACCCGTAGTTTATGAGGAGTAGTCCGGACAAGTTTTGTGATGGACGTTCTCACAGGACAGTAATTATGTGGCTACTCTATTGTTCTCTCTATTGTTCTTTTTAGCAACACAAAAGAAAATAGCCACATAAAAGCATTAGGGAATGAATGACATCAAAGAGAAAGGACAGTTACCTATTGTCCCTCTAGCCACATAATTACTCTCCTGTGAGTGCGGACAGACAGACAGACGGACGACGGAGAAGTGATCCCTATATGTCGCCACTACTCCGTAGAGGCAACACAAAAATGAAACTATAAAGGTAGATCAGTGATCACTGGTCATGTTTATAGTCTAAGTTGACCACTGAGTGCTTTTTTCTAAACACAAGCTGGATCCAAACTGAACCTCGGATCTTTCATTTGATTAGAATGAGAAAAAGAATGTTAGAAAACAGATAAAATGAAACATTAATAATTAAGTACCTTTCACAGTAATTCTTTAATTTATGGGTTTCCATATCATTCAAAGGAAATTCTCCTAGTTTCAACAGCTCCAAGAATAGATCTGTAGGAATCACACCTTCTTCCCAAAATACAAATAAACGATTTCTGATATCACTCAATCTTTTTACGGAGCTAATTTCAGTTATTTTTGTCCATATCTCATAGAATGTTAAATAATCCTGTTGTTTTAATGACATTTTGAGAAGTGCACTTGATACTCCAAAATCAACATATTTCGCAGAGAATACCCAATTTTTAACTTGTAGCCATTCTCTTGTCAAAGCAATTGTAGGTCCAACCATATCTTGGAATACTTTACTGGAACCATATGTTTCCTTACACTTTTCAAACTCTTCCAGAACCATATCTTCGTATTTGTGGGCACAATTTTGGAAAAAATAATTCAAAGTTGACATATTTGGCTCCCTTTTTGACTTTATATATGTTAAGTATGACAAACTTAAATCAGGTTTGCCTATCAAGCTCTTCATTAAAGTAGCATCAAGAACATTTTCCACCCAATGACTTTCTTTTAATATCTTTTCTCTAAGAGTTTCCCACTCGGAAAAAGTCATTTTAAAATCACCCTTACGTTTTAATTTTTGTTTAAATTTGAAAAAACTATCAGAATACATCATGACATCACGTGTGGGCCGAGATCTTGACCCTCTGCCTGAAAGCTGAAATATCTTCCGAGGAAATAGTATACTCTTTGCTTGGTGATTTAGAATACTCTGAGCACTGTGTAAATTTATGTTCCATGCTCTCCAACATAAAGGAATGTTTCTTGCACACCTTATGATGAAATTATTCATCATCTTGATACTGGCAAAGACCGATGAAACACCTGCAAAAGAAACAAAAAGAAGTAGCATTTTATGAAATTTTGCACTCATTGCTGAAATTAACAAGATATTGATGTAGCCCTAGAGCCTATACCACTGAGAACTACTGCCAGACGAGGGCTTCCTGTTTTAAACCACTCCTTTTAAAATCATTGCATTAAATTTTCGTCAATTATGACTATGAGACAAACTCTTAACATTGTGGGTGCCCAAAATAAATTTTTCAATATATATATGTTTATTATGGAAATATTTTATAAACTAGAACTACACTAAATGTGTTTAAATCCCCCCGCAAACTGCTTTTTTAAAATGGGGGAATTTATAGTAAAGAAAAACCTTTGTAAAAGAATTGAAATAGAGTTATGGTTGTAGGAAATTTAAAAAGATAGTTTGGTTTTTTGGGGTATTTTTGCTTTTCCTTTCAATGGGGGTTGGGCCCCATTGATGAATTTTTTATTAAATTAAACTCGGGAAAATAAGTTCGGGAAAAAAGGACAAGGAAAAGGAAAAAAAGGGAAATTTAACTTATAATATTGAAAGGGGGTTATGGTTTTTGTACACTAATTTCCCCCTCATTGAACTTGCCCCAATTGTATAAAGTTTATTAAATTTCCCACAAACAAGTTTTCAAAGTTATGCACGGGGAAAAAGGAACGTGTTTTTTAAACACAAAATCCCCGGGCCCCGTTTTCTTTTATTTAGCAATATTTCAAACTAGAAATGTGTCCATAGGACACGGTTGCCCCCACCGCGCCACTGTTCTGTCAATCTTATGACTCTAGGTCAAATATTTTTTGAAAACTAAAACTCTTTTACTAAGTAAAGGGCAAGAACTTTACAAATACTGAATAAATCCACAAGCAAACCCCAAGTTGAAAATTGCAATTTTATACTACTGTAAGTCAAGGGCAATAACTCTAACAAAACTGAAAAAAAATCCACATGCAAAGTCCCAGGTTCATAGCTTCACAGTGATGTGAATCATTATTCCTGTAATATAGTGATGTTGATCATTATTCCTGAAATGTTGGTCAATTCTAACTCAAGCACTCAAGCACTCAAGGAACAAATAACAACATAATGAAACAGTTTTTACTAAGTCAAGGGAAATAACTCTACAAATACTGGATAAATCCACAAGCGAAACCCCAGGTGCAAAACTAAATATGCTAAGCAACCTTCCCATAAGGTTTATTGACTCTATGTCAAATCCTTTTTGAGTTACATGCGACACAAGTTGAAAATTGCAAACATTTTTCTAAGTCAAGGGCAATAACTCTAAAAAATACTAAATAAATCCAGACGAAAATACCCAGGTGCACAACTACACATGCTGATCAATATTCCTGTAAAGTTTCATGACTATGTCAAATCCTTTTTGAGTTACATGCGACACAAGTTGAAAATTGCAAAATTTTACTAAGTTAAGGGCAATAACTCTAAAAATACTAAAAACATCCAGACAAAAATACCCAGGTGCACAACTACACATGCTGATCAACATTCCTGTAAAGTTTCATGACTCTAGGTCAAATCCTTTTTGAGTTACATGCGACACAAGTTGAAAATTGCAAAAATTTACTAAGTCAAGGGCAATAACTCTAAAAATACTAAATAATCCAGCAAACGAAAATACCCAGGTGCACAAACTACACATGCTAATCAATTTCCTGTAAAATTTCATGACTCTAGGTCAAATATTTTGAGTTGAAACATTGCGACACAAGTTGAAAAATTGCCAAAATTTTTAACTAAGTCAAGGGGAATAACTCTTAAAATACTAAAAATATCCAGGTGCACAACTACACATGCTAATCAACATTTCTGTAAAGTTTCATGACTCTTGGTCAAACATTTTTTGAGTTACGTGCAACACAAAAGAGAACGCACGGACGGACAAGGGTAAATCTAAATGCCCGCCACTAAAGTTGGGGCACAAAAATTAATAGCCAAAAGTTTAGCGGACTATTCACGATTTAGCGATTAACAAGATGAGCAGTTGGTTAAATGTACATTACATATAAAACTTTTTTCAGTTTTATAAAGATTCTCAAATAAACTGATTTAAACTGATGTATAATTTTCACTACTTTTTTCTTCCATAGAACCACTGTGAGTGAACTTTAATTGAAGCAATTTTAGGCTGTTCAGGTGGAATGCTTGACACACATTTTTCAAAGTTATCTGACAATTTCTTTTGTTTGTTATAATATATTTTGTCACACACAGAACTGAAGTAGGTCATATTATAAGACTACTGTAGGCCTACTCAGTATAGAAATTAAACTTGCAAACACTTTCACAGAAGCAGCCTTTTTTCTGCATAACTTACTGAAAAATGTCATCAGCACCAATGTAATACAAATTTTTTGCCATAATAGTAAAGATTTTTAAACAGATCTCAGCTTATTTTCGCTTTTTTCATAATAATAAAAGTATCGGTGTCGCGAAAATATGTGACTAGTATTGATTTTTTTCTCTTTTCTGCAGAAATATTCACAATTTTGGTTGTTGTGCATATAATTGTTTGGAAGTAAATACTTTTTAAATAATTTATTTTGTTGTTTTCCACTGGCGATTAAGTCAAGCAGCTGAAAAAAAAATCAAAATTTACAATCCACGGCAGTTTACGGCAAATTTTGGGTTGGTAAATACCCAGTTTATTAATTTTAGGATGATGTCTGTGGCTAATTGGTGGATATTAGATGGCAGACTTCCCGAAATACGTCGGTCCGACGGACATGTCCGATAAATTTTGATCAGGTCCGACAATTTTTTATTCCGGATCGGTCCGACTGTCCGGCTTTTATCCAAGCCGCATGTATACAAAATGGCGTCGCTAAAGGTGCCAAACCTGGGAAAAAACGAAAATCTACGTCAGAAGAGTGCGCAGAACAGCAATAAAAGGATGAAAAGAATAGACCTGAGACAAAATTTAATGAAAAATGGAAGCAGAACCATGAATCATTGGTGTATGACAGGGAGGAGATGAAAATGCCCTGTATGGATTGTGCCGATTTTTACGGCAAAAAAATAAAAAACAAAAAGTGTCTTAGAAATACAAACACAAGTTTTTCATTGATTTTGATTAATTTTATTTGGTCCGACAGATTTTGTTTCGGTCCGACAGATTTTCATGGTTTGTCAGACCGAATGTCTGACAGTTTTTTTCAACTTTCGGGAAGTCTGAGATGGCTATTATAATGGTGGACAATATTTAGAGTACTAATACAAATTTACATCTCACGTGTATTTTTATCACCTCGGGCGATATGTATCGGTAAGAGTTTGTATTAAAACGACCGTAGGGAGTCACATCAAACTCTTACCCATATAACTTCAAATCGGCTCTTACAACTTGATATCAGATAAAAATATAGAAAGTGTCACCTCTTTAATTAAGCATAACATTGTTTTTCCCCAGCAGTCACATACAAACAAGGATGGGGTCCAATTACTTAATCTGGCATGAGAAAACAATGAGTTTTCAACAATACTTAGGATTGTTAATGCAATTCATTTCTGTCATAAGAAACAAAATAATGATTTGCTTACTTTTTGTAGAAAATATAAACAGTCGGCAATTAATAATTGAGATTTTTCTTAAGAGTTAAAAGGATATCAAAAAGTTACTGTGTACTCATTTGTCTCTGCAATCTGAGCTCCACGTGTATTATCTATGTAATAAATTTGATAAAAAGTTTACTCCCCGCTGGTGTTAATTGGGTCTTAGGTTACTGCATTCTTTATCGATTTTTACACCTCATTTAAACAATGTTGGAAGTAAAAAATAATCGCCAATTTTTGTAGCCAAAATGCAAAAATAATCGCCAATCTCATAAAATTATCACAAATGGTGACCATCAGGCGACTGATAGCGTGAGCCCTGAGAGGACCAAGATGACCCTAGATTGCTCACTTGACCCATCAAACTCATCCATGCAATTATCTAGACAAGCATCCTGACCAAGTTTGATGACAATTGATTCAAAAATGTGATCACTAGAACATTAACAAGGATTTTTGAGCGACCTAGTTTTTGACCCAAGATAACCCATAATCAAACTTGACCTAGAAATCATCAAAACAAACATTCAGACCAATTTTCAGGATATTTGCATCAAAACAGTAGCCATTAGAGTGTTAACAAGATTTTTCTATTTTTAGCTCCTGTAACCTAGTTTTTCATCAGAGATGACCAATGTTTAAACTCACCTGAGCAATGATCTAGACAAGCATCCTGACAAAGATTGATGATGATTGAGGCAAAAATGTGACCACTAGAGTGTTAACAAGGTTTTTCCATATTTGGGCGGTGTGTCCTAGATTTTGACCCAAGGTGACCCATATTCGAACTTGACTTAGAATTAGAAATAATCAAAACAAAAGTTGAAAACTTTCAGACCAATTCCCAGGATATTTGGATTAAAACAGTAGCCACTCGAGTTTTAACAAATTTTTTCTATTTTTAGCTCCTGTGACCAAGTTTTTCATCCAAGATGACCCATGTACAATGTCATTTGAGCAATTACCTAGACAAGCATACTGACCAAGTTTTATGATGTTTGAAGCAAAAATGTGACCACTAGAGTGTCAACAAACAACTATGGACGGACAACAGATGACAAACATTCAATGATCCTCAAATTTATACCCTATAAAAGACCATGTTATGCTTTGACCTCCAAGTGTGACCTTGACATTGGAGGTAGGCATCTGGGTGATAGGCATTAAACACATTCTCATTACTGTGAACATTTGTCCCAAGTATTTTCAAAATCCCTTGATGGATGAGAAAGTTTTGCACCAGACACAACATATACCCTTCAATGTTGACCTTTAATCACCAAGTGTGACCTTGACCTTGGAAGTAGGGGTATGGATGACAGGCATGACACATTGTCTTTTAATAATAAACACTTGTGCAAAGCTATTTCAAATTCCTTAAATTAATGAATGTATTTGTTATGGACCAGAAAATAAAGTGTGACAGACAAACAGCCGCAAAGACAGACACACACACAGAGTTCACATCTACATCCCTTTTTCCCCTAAAAAGGTGAAGGACAAAAGATTTTGTACCAGTATTATAATCCTTACAGGAGAAAAAATATACATGAATAAACTTTTAAGATTTCTTTATTGCTAAAAATATACAGTCTACAGACCAGAATGTTGCATCTTTACTAAAAATAAAACAGATAACAACCTTACCAACAGTTGGAATATTATTTCAGTATTTGTAGTATTTGCTACTTTAATACGGGGAAGTCAAAGACCGGGCCCGCGAAGCGGGTCCGGGCTTTGGCTTGCCCGGCTATAGACTACATGTGTATATTTAAAAGAAAATCAAATAATAAAACAATTAAAAAAATATATAGAATTCTATACCTATCAATGAAATTTTCAGTGTCAGTTCTAGTCGGGCGGCCGCCATTACAATGTAACTCAATGATAATAGGCGGGGTATTCCGATAACGGAACAAACCTCAACTTTTCGGATAAATGATAATCGTCGAGAGTTCCGAGTGAAAACGGAAGCGGTGCATGTAATACCGAATGACATCTTTAAAACGGAAAGAATGACGACTTCCCCGTTCATAGGCTTTGCCTAATTTCATATTATATAGCGATCCTGACGTTCACCCTTTAACTACTCACTCACACTGTTGGTTATTGTTACCCCGGGTACTACTTGTAGGCCGCTTGCCAGTATCTTCTTGAATACTAGAATAGATAGTACCAAATCATGTAAAAAGTACTCACTAGTACCAAAAAAAGATTCTGGGTACCAAAAAAAAACTGTGTTCAAGGCTAAAGGGAGTGTAAGATGCCCATGATGCTAGAGGTTTATCTCTAAATCAAATTTTACATTATCTATAAAAAGTATAAATCTGCTAAATAAATGCAAAAATACCCAAATCTTAAATATTTTTCAATCCAAATGAATTTTCAAAATGTTCAACGTAAGGTTGGATGAATCGTTGCGGTTTGAATCGTCAGTGGAGCGAATCGTTATGGGACGAATCGTCCGTAGGGCGAATCGTTAACAATTACAGTACAGTATGTTTACATATATTTTCACGTTTCAACATATAACAGTAATATTTATGTAAGCACATTACCACTACACAGGAAGTTCTTGTTAAGAATCAAACATCAATTTGTAGAGGACGGGTCTGTCGGCCCCATGTGCACATAATTGGGTAACAATCAATCGGAACATCTTCGAATAACAATCGCATTTTCTCGGTCCTTTCCGTCAAACTTCGGATAAGTGTGTCCAAATCAGATATAGATCTATCTGAAAATAAAGTTTCCTTTTAAAAGGAAAGGCTTGCACAGTTGTGCCTTCATAAAGTGTTTATTTAGTTTGTTGTTTTTTTTTTGTAAAAACGAATATTTTTTGTCAAAACAATTTGAAATCTATTCTCTACTGTATTGTATAAAACTTGTAAAGAAAATAATCAATCATAAAAATACTAACTATTCTATCATTCTGAAAAGGAAACAAGTGTGAACATTTCATTTCCAGAGAAATCATTCGTTTTGGCAGTTTCTAATTTCATTTATATAGCATCTTTATGGACAAGTAAATGCACTAAAATACTTCGTTACGTGGTACCAATAGGGAACGATCTGAGATAAGCATCGTATACGTCACTGATAAGAGACCTGTTCTAAAAATAGCCACATATTGATAACTTTCGGACAAGGAAACTGGTTAATCTACATGTAGATTATACAACATGTAATGGTTACGAATACTTTTATTCACATTTCTCTCAATGGAAATGATGTTCCTGGGGTTAAACTTGCGTAAAACATGATTTAGATGGTTTAAAACCATCAGGAAAAAAAAGATGATATGGTGAAAAAGAAATAACTTTCGAGGCAATACTTTCCCTGCATGTCAATTTGAGAAAAATGCCGGCGCTTGGCATGTTGTTTTTGTTTCACTGTTTATCAAAATTAAAAATGGTGATATGATATGGTATGATTTTAAGAAATTGGGACTAAAAATGAAAAAGTATCTTTCTGTCCCAGATATACCGTACAAAATTTTGTTTATATGTAAAATACGCAGATTGGAGAAGTCATGAATCTATCCACCAAAGTGCTACGAGTATTATATTAATGACTATAATATCTTAAATTAATTCTTTAATAATTTTAGAATACGCAAAACTCTGCGTTTTTCCTATTTTACCTAATAAAAAATGCCGATTCTAGTAGTTACTTTATCAGAAATAATGTATACGTACATGCATGCTTGCATGTATATTTAAACTGAATTGACAATTGAGGTCCGTGATTTATACTGTTTACGTATAGACAATAAAATACATTTGTTTTTTATTTTATGTCTCACACAAAATATTTGTAGTTAAAATCTTCGCCAATTTAGAATTACTGGTGCATTTTGTAAACTTCGCCTCATCAATCAAAAGAGTCAAACTTTTTTTCTGCCTGAATGACAAAAACCGTTTTATTGACAAATATAGAGGCCAGAGCAGATTGTGACATAATTATGTTTAAATTTAACTTTTCAAAAGTACAGTGTGTAGTTGTCCCTTTTCTTTTCACACTAAATTCCATTTCCAACTTGTTTGCATTCTACAATTTCTTAAAATATTGCATGTAAACAAAGTAAATATACGCTGATTAACATCATGTATAGTGTGAACTCCCTAATCCCTTGCCCGAAAGTCATTACAGGTGATGTAGTGGTGATAAGGTAAAATCTATTTTTAGAACAGTGTTACCTTCAGATCGAAGGCTATGTAAAATACGCAGATTGGAGAAGTCATGAATCTATCCACCAAAGTGCTACCAGTATTACAATTTAATGATTAATATCTTAATTCTTTAATAATTTTAGAATAAGCAAAACTCTGCATTTTTCCTATTTTACCTAATAAAAAATGCCGATTCTAACTAGTATTTATTTTATCAGAAATAATGTATACGTACATGCATGCTTGCATGTATATTTAAACTGAATTGACAATTGAGATCCGTGATTTAACATACTCAGTACACTGTTTACGTATAGACAATAAAATACATTTGCTTTTTATTTTATGTCTCACACAAAATAGTTGTTGTTAAAATCATCGCCAATTACTGGTGCATTTTTTAAACTTTGTTTTATTGACAAGGTGTAAAGATGTATATAGAGACCAGAGCAGCTTGTGACGTGTGTTTAAATTTAACTTTAAAAAAGTACAGTGTGTAGTTGTCCCTTTTCTTTTCACACTAAATTCCATTTCCAACTTGTTTGCATTCTACAATTTCTTAAAATATTGCATGTAAACAAAGTAAATATACGCTGATTAACATCATGTATATTGTGTTCTCCCCAATCCCTTGTCCGAAAGTCAGTACAGGTGATGTACAGTGGTGATAAGGTAAAATCTATTTTTAGAACAGTGTTACCTTCAGATCGAAGGCTATTAATAAGCATGTATCAACTATGTTACACAACCACAGATACGGTAAGGTTAATGATATGCATGGGCTATTTTTAGATTACCTCACTGCGTTCATTAGATCTAAATATAACTCGATCATGCACTAATATTCTCTGTGATTTGGTAAGCAAGACCACCCTTTGGAGACGTAACCATCCTCTATTGTATAAGGTATATATGTTAATTAATATACAAAACTAATACAGACAAAAACAATTATAAAAGAAACTAACTTTTGCGTCTTGAAAAAGAATTGAAACGTAACAATTTCGTTTATAATTTATTACGGTTTAAACCGATAAATCAAGTAAAAATAGAAATCCTATTTATATAAACAAACTGGGATTACCGAAGTAACTAAAATAGCTTAGATTTCCGTAATATTACTTCGTCTGATTCCGCAGTATGACGGATTCGCCCGAATTGTCACGATTGCAATCGGAACTACATCGGCTATAATCATTAAACCGAAGAGTGACGGAAAGGGCCAAAAAGTTGCGATTGGCACGATTGCAGGGTGGGGGGAAAATCCCGGGATCCGGGACGCCCGGGATCCGGGATCGTATTAGATATATAGGGAAAACTAATAAACTATATTTTTGTTGGTTTTTGCCGTAACGAAAGGCGATTAAACGTTAACTTTTTAATTTTTATTGTATTTAATGACCGGTAAATTAATTTTACTTAAGATATAAATATATTTAATATACTTAAAATGCGGAAATCACAATACTTACATTTGCCTAATTGGAGAAAAAAAATTTTTTTTGTTAATATAATTTTTGGCTTAATTTTATGTACATGTATTTAAATATTATTTTTAGAAAATATCTTAAGATATACTTAACATCATTTATAACCAAAAAAACTCTTGACATGTATGACAGGTGGTAAATTCCCGTGATCTCTGTACTGTGTAATAGATCCCGGGTTTTCTGAAAGCAAGATGGTAATGGTCATTTTCCCGGGATATATATATCTTATTCGATTCGGCTTTCTTAATGCTTTCTTTAATGTCTTAAATGAATATATTTTTTAAGTATGAACAAATTATGAACAAATTACTTGTCAATGAAATTATGAAATGAAAAAGAACGGCAGTGGACTCATTTTCTTAATAAATTTGCCCAACATATCGTCCCATGGTGTTAATAAACATTGGTGTATTGAAGATGTCTGGTGACACTTCCGACTATGACCAATAGACCGAATGATAATTTACTGGTACCTAATTTACTCTTTATCTGTACGTCTAAAACGATCCCAGCTTTTCTGAAAACTATATAATTGAACTGGTCAATTCCCGGGATACCTATATGTTTTAATACGATCCCGGCTTTTCTGAAAAACTATATTCTTGAACTGGTCAATTCCCTTGATCTTACGATCCCGGCTTTTCTGAAAAAAACCATATTGTTGAACTGGTCAATTCCCGGTATCCCTATATGCTTCAATACGATCCCGGCTTTTCTGAAAAACTATATTTTGAACCGGTCAATTCCCGGGATCCTTATATGTTATAATACGATCCCGGCTTTTCTGAAAACCATATTTTTAAACTGGTCAATTCCCGGGATCCTTATATGTTCAATATGATCCCGCCTTTTCTGAAAAACTATATTCTTGAACTGGTCATTTCCCGGGATCCTTATATGTTTTAATACGATCCCGGCTTTTCTGAAAACCATATTATTGAACTGGTCAATTCCCGGGATCCCTATATGCTTCAATACGATCCCGGCTTTTCTGAAAAACTATATTCTTGACCTGGTCAATTCCCGGGATCCTTATATGTTATAATACGATCCCGGCTTTTCTGAAAACCATATTTTTAAACTGGTCAATTCCCGGGATCCCTATATGTTTAATATGATCCCGCCTTTTTTGAAAAACTATATTCTTGAACTGGCCAATTCCCGGGATCCTTATATGTTTTAATACGATCCCGGCTTTATGACAGACCTGCTTATTATAATGAAATTATAAGTGATTATGTAAATATATACTCTTGCTCTTATAATACATAAAATACATTTATAATACATTGTTGTTAGAAATAAAACCTTAAATAATCCAATTTTATATTAATATACTCTTGGTCATACTTATAACAAAATTTTCTGTCTCATGCACGTAAAACAAATGTGCTACTATCTAATTATCATATCAAATGCATTCTGAGGCATTGGTCATTAGCGTATTATTTTTATTTCGACATGACTGTTTGGTTTCTTTAATAATATGAGTGGCAATGGCTTATAACAACTGTAATTTTGTGCTGTTGGTAATATCCATCACCCATTTCTTGTCTTTTTCGTTTTCGGACAAGACTTGTTTTCTTTATGGATAAACTTGAAAACTTAAAATAACAATATACACATGCTTGTAATATTGTAATAGTCACTGTATTATTTTGTATAGTATCTCTTGTTGTTTATTACGCTAAAAATTTATACTTGAAAATACCAATAATTTCCTTTTTTGAATGTAAAATTTACATATTTTAGTACACACATGTAACATATACTATCTTTAAACACAATATCAGCAAACACAGTACGGCCATACGAATACACTGTCATAAATAATGTAATTTTAAAAGAGACCAAAATAACTTGACCAACTATAGGGAATGCAGCTTCTCAAACAAAGTACGTGCTTTCATTTTAATAAATTTATGCAAAAGGGGGATTTTTGGGAATGCATTTAAAAGCGTAAGGTCAAACAAAACAAAACAAAACAAATAATAAACATTTAATTTTTTTTTTGCATATATTAATAAAAAATATGTGAAAATATGGC